GACTACGGGCGTGCGGTGGACTGGTGGGGTACCGGTGTGGTCATGTATGAGATGATGTGTGGTTATCTGTGTGTTTGTCTGTGTGGTGTAGGTTCTAGAAGACAATGACTACGGGCGTGCGGTGGACTGGTGGGGTACCGGTGTGGTCATGTATGAGATGATGTGTGGTTATCTGTGTGTTTGTCTGTGTGGTGTAGGTTCTAGAAGACAATGACTACGGGCGTGCGGTGGACTGGTGGGGTACCGGTGTGGTCATGTACGAGATGATGTGTGGCCGGCTGCCCTTCTACAACAAGGACCACGACCTGCTGTTTGAGCTCATCCTGCTGCAGCACGTCAAGTTCCCCCGCAACCTCTCCGAGGAGGCCAAGACGCTGCTCAGTGGACTGCTGGTGAAAAAACCCAAACAGAGGTCAGTGGTCAGGGGCGCTTTACAGCCACATTGAAACGTTTTAGGTTATTTAGGAAGCAGGCTGCTCAATGGACTGCTGGTGAAAAGACAGTTCATTTGTTGGTAGATATTTTACATCTCTTTTGAAACAATTTAGGTAACTGAGGAAGAGTGTTGCTGCAATTCTGCTCTGTGGGCAGCTGGGGATAAATCCCAAACAGAGGATTGTAGAGTGGGAAATGTTTTACACCCACAGTGACACTATTTTGTCCCAAAGCTAGAGGTCAGAGGTCAGTGGACACCCTGTGGTCATGTTTTACACCCGCATTGACAGCACTTATTGTGCGGTAAAAAATTCGTGGCACAACTTATCCTTAAATATCATCCCTTTAACGGGTGAATCAATGTCATCCATATTTGGCACAGCAGTTTGTATTAATTTGTCTTAACTTACTCATATTTTTCCACAGCAATTGAGGCTCGATTAAAAAACCTCTCTTCATTAATTTATATAAAATACCATAAATCTCCATCTCGCGGAAAATGTGATTGTTCCCAGCACTTCTCGCTTCTCACACACATTTTGCATACGCATATATGGCCTACGTCACAGCTCACAAATGACACTTTTTAGTGGCAACACTTCTTCCAAAAATATTTTTATAATGAACACATTTTTTTGCGCTGAAGGTTTCCTGAACATATGTTCAATAAGCATGCTATTGCCATTAGAAAAAAATGACAGACTTTCTTTTAAAAGCGATTTTGCCGGAGCTGTAAACTTTCTAAAATCTGTAGAAACTATGGACTGGCATTTTTTATTAGTATTTATGAAGGAATTTTCTAGAATACAGTGTGCAGCAGTTTGAAAAAATATTTACCTGTTAAGACAAATTGATATAAGTCAGTTTGCTAAAGCTGGAGAATCTATGTTCGATAGGCAAGGAGATATTTCACAATAGTTGCGCCATGCATTTTTGACCACACTATAGTCAACAAACCCACACACGCATCTGCAGAATGTTGCAGGTTTTTATGCCCTTCTTGTTTTGACAAAAACAACAACAACAAAAACAACAACAACAACAAAAACAACAACAACAAAAACAATAACAAAAACAACAACAAAAACAAAAACAACAACAACAAAAACAACAACAAAAACAAAAACAAAAACAACAACAAAAACAAAAACAAAAACAACAACAAAAACAAAAACAACAACAACAAAAACAACAACAAAAACAAAAACAAAAACAACAACAAAAACAAAAACAAAAACAACAAAAACAAAAACAAAAACAAAAACAACAACAAAAACAAAAGAGTGGGGAGGAAATGAATGCAAATGAAAAGTGTCTCCTACGTCATTGGACTGAATTACGCCGTGCATTCATGTGCGTTTTGAGCATGATATCCCTGCTGGTGTTGTCCTTCTGGCACATACAGTCAGCTTGGAACCTCTCCCCCACAGCGTATTGTCCCATCTCACACGTAGTGTCATGTGACGCTGACTACACTTTTCCTACTCTGATTTGAAAGGACTGAGGTTTCTGAGGTTTTCCTTGGAAGAAATGAGAAAGCTGTAGCGAGATTTTGTATGGCAGTAGTCAGAAAAGGGCACCAATGCTTGCCAGGGTTCATTTTGAAGGAGTTACATAGCAAAACTGATATAGAAGTCCTCTGGGAATATATTTTAAATAGTTCTAATGTATTTGTGGTCAGATGCATTGAAGAGCCTGCTCTACTCTGGCGTTGACCAGATGACAAGGACATGTGGTTACTTGAGGGAGGCATTGCGCTGCCAAGAGCGAAATGCTCGCAGCTAAAGGGATTTGAAAACAACAACAACAACAACAGATGCATTGAAGTGGGGAAAGTAGCATGCTTAGAGAGGAAGTTGTTTGTCTTTTGTCATGTTCATGTTGGTTCTGTCTGTTGTCAATAGTTTGTGTGTGCAGATAAATCTGTGTTTTGTTGTTCCCTAATGTTGTGAATTTATCTCCTCTGACAGACTGGGTGGAGGTGAGGCAGACGTAGAGGAGATCAAGGGTCATCCATTCTTTGCTTCCATCAACTGGGAGGACCTGGTGGCCAAAAAGGTGATTATGTCCACAGTGTTTGACCGTTCTTGGTGTTTGTCCATTTGTCGTGTTTGTTTGTCAGTGTGTGGCGATTGTCTATTGGTGTATTTGTCATGTTTGAGTGTTTGTCAGTGTGTGGTGATAAAGTGTGTCTACTTGTTGTGTGGGGGTTGTATGTTTGTCTTGTATGGCCCACCTGTGTGGCGGCTGGTCTGTCTGCTTGTGTCATGGCGCTGGTCTGCCTGCTTGTGTCTTGTTCACAATGCACGCACCCAAGCCACAGCCAGTTGGCAATGTGAATGTTGTACGTGTCCTACTGGCCACATGGCCCCAGGGCTGAGGTGAGCAGCCTGTTTCCCATTTTGTCCTGTCTGTACTGTTGCCGCCTTTGCCTACGTGTAGAGTACTACAGCACTCCCTGTACTCCTCCATATTTTTGCTTTTTCTGTGTTTGTGCACACATTTAGTTCACCTTTTTTTATGTAATTCAAGTTTTTCTATCTGTCGTCATTTTCTACAACTGAAATAGAAGCTTTGTGTTGGTAGCGGCTTGTGTCAGCTCGGACAGGTCTCAGAGAGGTTCATGCCAGACCTCCCGTGGTATCTGGAGGAAGATCCTAAATTGGGTGGATGGGAGTGTCAAAATTCACAACACTTTCTCTTCCAGCAATGAAAATGTGAGGCCTCCGCCGCACCACTAGTACACAGAATGTTTCAAACAGATAGAATAACTTCGGGACAAAAGCAAGTTATAAGCAAGTTTACATTAGAACATTTTCTTTGGCTTATACATTTATTCATTGTATTTCCGGCCAAAATGTTTGCTTTTTGTCTATACTAGCAACAGAAAAAGCTTGGACTTATTTGTTTGTTGAAATTTGGAGGCCAACGTTTCTTGACTACTTTCTAAACCAGTTATTGTAGGTTGTGTTGCGTGCGCTCAGTGTTGCTTTAACTAACAGCGTGGTAGTGTAGTGTGTGGTGTGTGTTGCTTTAACTAACAGCGTGGTAGTGTAGTGTGTGGTGTGTGTTGCTTTAACTAACAGCGTGGTAGTGTAGTGTGTGGTCTGTGTTGCTTTAACTAACAGCGTGGTAGTGTAGTGTGTGGTCTGTGTTGCTTTAACTAACAGCGTGGTACTGGATGCTGTGTGGTACATATCGAGCTTGACTACCGTCTGACCTGACTAGCTGGGCACTTGACTACCGTCTGACCTGACTAGCTGGGCTCTAGTGCTATGTCTGACCATATAATCTGTGTGGTGTATACAACTGTGATAATGTTTCTTTGGCTTGGCCCGTTTGAGTAGATGTGGGTTATACGGACAGTTGTGATGTTTCATGGGCCTCTGAGTAAATGGGCAAATGTATGTTAGTTTGTTGACTCACCTTTGTATGTTGAGTAGCTCCGGGTCCTGTCCTGCTGTCCAGTACTCAAAAGAGTGGGTGGATGGAGTGTGCCAGGATGCCACTGTTAGGTCTTACGTCTTTTCTTTCTCCCTGTTGTTTCTGTCTGTTGGCCGCCTCTAGAATAGTGAGTTGGTTAGTGAGGCTGGTACCAGAATACTGAGTTGGTTAGTGACGCCACCAGACGCCACTAGAATAGTGATTTTGTTAGTGACGCCAGTAGATTAGTGAGTTGGTTAGTGACACGACTAGATTAGTGAGTTGGTTAGTGACACCTGTAGAATAGTGATTTTGTTAGTGACGCCTGTAGATTAGTGAGTTGGTTAGTGACACCACTAGATTAGTGAGTTGGTTAGTGACACGTGTAGATTAGTGAGTTGGTGAGTGACACCACTAGATTAGTGAGTTGGTTATTGACACGTGTAGATTAGTGAGTTGGTTAGTGACACCTGTAGATTAGTGAGTTGGTTAGTGACACCTGTAGATTAGTGAGTTGGTTAGTGACACCTGTAGATTAGTGAGTTGATTAGTGACACGTGTAGATTAGTGAGTTGGTTATTGACACGTGTAGATTAGTGATTTGGTTAGTGACCTGTAGAATAGGGAGTAGGATAGTGACACTACTAGACTGGTGGGTTTGTAAGTGACACAATTATAGCAGTGATCTGGTTTACCTCAGTGCTCTGTCTCGTAGGTGAGGAATTCTGCCAATATTTGAGAAGTTGTGGATGTTATTTGCTGTCTCTGTTGTGAAGGGGGGTTGTGTATTTATATATCATGTCACCAGTAGAGGTAGGTGGTACAGGAGATAGTGTGTCTGTATGTGTCACCAGTAGAGGAGATAGTGTGTCTGTGTCTGTGTGTGTCACCAGTAGAGGAGATAGTGTGTCTGTGTGTGTCACCAGTAGAGGAGATAGTGTGTCTGTGTGTGTCACCAGTAGAGGAGATAGTGTGTCTGTGTGTGTCACCAGTAGAGGAGATAGTGTGTCTGTGTGTGTCACCAGTAGAGGAGATAGTGTGTCTGTGTGTGTCACCAGTACAGGAGATAGTGTGTCTGTGTGTGTCACCAGTAGAGGAGATAGTGTGTCTGTGTGTGTCACCAGTACAGGAGATAGTGTGTCTGTGTGTGTCACCAGTACAGGAGATAGTGTGTCTGTGTGTGTCACCAGCACATGCAGGTGGTACAGGAGATAGTGTGTCTGTGTAGGTGTGTTCTGACACAAGTGCCTGTCATCATGTGATGCTCATACATACACGTAATACACTGTCATGTTGTACATACTGCTATGCATACTGTTTTATTTGACTATGACGTACATTTCAGCCTTTCTTTTCTGTCCATGTATTTTGTAAGTGTTAGGTTGACTGGTTATGTTCATTTTGTACTGCTGGCTCATTTGGAGGTGTATATAGCCACTATGGGACTGGCTGTTGGCCTCCTACCTCTTTTCTTTCCCTTTATTGTCTGTCTGTCTGTCTGTCTGTCTGTCTGTCTGTCTGTCTGTCTGTCTGTCTGTCTGTCTGTCT